TCCCAGCCATAACTTTGCCAGGAAAAGCATCTCCTGAGCTAAGGTGGCACCTAATGGGATTAGTGAGCTGGGGCTATGATAAAACTTGCAGCCTAGAACTCTACACTGGCTACACCAAAGCTCTTCCCTTCAAAGACTGGATTGAGAAAAACCTGAAATGAAAAGCTGTGTCTGGAAATGGCATTTTATAACTATCATAATATCTCTCTTGGTCTCTGCTGCTTTAGGTTTCTCATCTCAGTGATGAGCTACGTCTGGCATAAGGTTAAGGCAGACAGCCTGGTAATTTGTCCTAGGATCAGATGTTCCATCAGGCTACTTTTGCTTAACCCATTGCAGAGGGTCTTAGTGCATGAGATGTTTTGCCATATTTCGCCGGTCTCCCCTGGTGGGAGGATGATGCTCTGCTCCTGAGTCTGACATAGAGAAACAGGACAGCAAATTCAGACTGAAATTAATCTGTAGTGTGGAGTCCCCTGGAGAAATCAACGGTGAGCCTCTCCTAAAGATCTGTGTGACTGAATGAATTAGGAGGCTGGAAAGAGTAGCCCGAATTCATTACAATGGGTTACGGTACGTGCTGTCTGTATTGCCATAGTACAATGTAATCTTTTTCCCTCCCAAGTACTTAACACATTTAAATAAACCATGGTTTGTTTTTTTTTAACCTACATACCCATGTCTGACATTATTTAGATTTCTTGTTGTTTTATCTGTGTTGCACTGTAGGGACTCTCTACTGCCCTTGTCTGTTTGCATGTGACTCTCACTTGGGACTTTTCAGGCACACTGAAAGGCAAAATTAGCTCAAAATTCAATTACTACATAAATAACAAGATTTTTTTTTTCTGTGCTGCTATTGTTGTACATGAACCCTTGCAATGAAATGTACAGGCGATTTCTCTCCCACCTGGTATTTTGAACAGATGAAAACCTGAAATGCACTTTTAAAAACATTTTTCCATGTGGATTATTTCAAAGACTTATGAAAACCTCAGGAACACTTCTAGTTCCCATCAGTTCACATACCTTTGTGGCAAAACAACTCTGATGCTGTGAAATCTTGTTAAGAGTTTCTTAGCATTCAGTAGTTTTCACCTACTTTTGGATCTGAAAATTGCTGCTAAAAGGGCAGTTAGTATTGGAGGTCATTCCATGTAATTTATTTTTGCATTCCTGGACAGAAAGATTTAATGTGTTACGCTTTTGCACTTCTCTTATTTTCACTGTCAATAGGACCGGATGATGTCGCTTGAATCAAGAAGTTTAAGGGCCACAACCAAAGTATATTGCTTCTTTTTACCTTGTTTGTCTGTGTCCTCCTGCCAGGAGATTATGCTTGGCTGACAAACTGCATGGCAACAACAGCAACAAAAATTAAATGTGAAAAATAAGATGTGTTTCATTCCTCTGCTGGGAGAAACACGTGCCAGTGAACGTGTGGTACTCCCCTGCTGACAGAAGGGGTTAGAGGAAATTAGGGGACAGTTCTGGAGAAGGGCAAACCTGCCGAAAGTTAGTATGTGTTTCTTTCTAACACTATCAACAAAGAACAAAATGAGAAAGGAATAGAATTTTTTATTGGAGCCTGGCTCGCCCAGTCAGAGCTCTTCCATGATTACATTAAATGACAGTCTGTACACTCTATTGGTAAGAGAAATTCACTCCTAAAACAGAAATCATAACCGTCTGTGAGCTGGTTCTTTTCCCAGTTATGACACCATGACTGCATTGCACTCCATAGCATTATTGTTCTCCACTGCTGCAACTAAGAGAGAAGAAAAGGCCCCAAATGTTTTTTCTCCCTCTAGGATAAGTCCAGTAGAGAACTAGACAGTCCACATAGATGTGCAAAAGACTGTGTTAATTCCAGCTTTAGCTCTCACTCTTCTCCTTTTACTAAAGATCAGCCATACCTAGTATTTACTGATCCTCTAATTCCTCCTCTATGTCAAATGGCTTCAAATGGCTCACAGATGTGGCAACAAATAGCTGAAAGTTTCTGAGCTTGACAGCAACAATATAGGTGTTCACTGACTGTATATCACACAGAAGTATATTCTTGAAGAGAAACCGAAGGAATTAATGGAATGAAAGTCACAGGAGGAGGTTGCTACAGCGGTGCATGCACAGCAGAATTAAACCCCCCTTCTTTTCACAGTCATGATGCTCTTCAAAGAAAACAGAAGCAAGAAAATGGCCAGGCTTCTCTCAAAACTATTTCAAGCATCTCTCTAAACAGATGAGGATCTATGCCATCTGTTGGAGAAAGGGTGTGAAACAGCACAGTATGGATACCAACACATCTTCCCTCTGAGGAAAAGAACTATGCATCCTGGAAAGGCCATAAAGATATTGCTATGAAAAAAAGAGAGCAAAACAGTTTCTGCACTCTTACTCACTCCAATGGATTTATACATCTCCTTTTGTACGTTTTTGTGGCTAAGGGTGCATTAAATTACTTCCAAAAGTCAGAGTGCTTAGCTGAAAAATAGCACTTGGGAAATGGATGTACTGAAGTACACACTCTTCTCAGGCATACCTTCAGTGACTCTTATGGCATTGCCCTGGTAAGTTGTTTGCCTTGAAAACTCAAGTCTATGCTAAGATTACAAGAAAAAATGTGTATTTGATGAGGTCTAAGGAATGCATACAAAGCCGCATCCTGCCATTTTTAAGGACAGGTACTGGAATCAGCTTGGTTGCAGGAAAGGCATCCTGGGGGAAGCAGGAGTGGTGGGCAGGGTCGGGCAGCTTTTGCTCAGCTGTGCATCCCCTGCAGCCTCACAGTTCCTTATCGTGGCGAGGTGCTTCCTGCATGGCTGCTGGCTTTCTGTGCCACCTTCTTGGTGCGGAGAGAACAGTCCACAGCAGAAATATTTGTTCCCTGTGAAATGGGACATCAGGTTGGTCAGACTTGGATGGAACAGCACCGAAGTTGGCAGGCAGAGCCTCAGCTGGAGGAAACTGAAGCGCAGGTGCATGGTAGTGTCGTGACATAGCACGAGTTTCCTGTGCCCCAGCACAAGAGCGCGGTTACTGAACAGGACGAGAACGTCTCGCCTTACACTGCAAACACGGCCTG